ACCTGCTGCTTGAAGTTGCCTGCCCCTTCAGCCCTCTGAGCGATGATCATAGAGATAGTCTACAAGGGTAACAGTCTCGACATCATTCCACTGCGCTGGTGTGGCCTTGGAGTGAGGGGGAGCATGACTTCAGGTTTGGCCATGAGAAGAGTAGTGTCTGTGCACAGATCGCAGTGATCGCGACCGCACCAGCAAAAAGCCTCTTACGCCGCTCTAGGGTTAGATGAGGGTATACATCCATTGATAATATGTACGTAGGAGAGAAGCAAGGTTCGAGCTCCGACATCTCGGAACGATGCCGGTGAACATTTTCGCAAACATGCAAAGCAAATATTGAAAAATATCGAAATATCGAGTTGCCGAACTAGCTCTTACAGAATTCAGGGCCCAAACTTAATCGACCTGCCAGACTCGTCATGCTATAACTTAATAATGTAATATGTAGCTTGGAATGACATCGATGTCGTTCAAACTGTTGTTCACATGCACCAACTTCTTGAGCGGCCTACCTTTTTTGGTTTCCAAGATCCAGTCCCACACCGGGTGAACGTCTATGATATGATATGACCCAGAAGTGCCATCCTTTTTGTCTTTGTCGTGAACTCTGCTGACTTTCCATTCAATTTCCTTTTTCGTAGTTCACCAATACTTACACATTCCGTATGAGCTCGAAGTTCTCCTTTCTCAGTTTTGTGCTCGTCTGTTTGATAAGTATAGCCTATTCCGCACGTCGTCTGTTTAATAACTTACTGTGGTTGTCGCTTGGTGTCTCGCCTCGGGTCATGATAACCTTACAAGAAGATAACCGCTTAGCAAGTTGCCTCTCGTTAATCACTGTGTTTTCTACTACACTGGGAAGTGCGCAACCCAGAATCCTGCGCGTGCGTGCATATCAATATGACTACATACACTTCGTGACGTTGTAGACGTGAGCTCGGAGGAAACTCCCCGTCCGGGATACCGCACGTGACCCGTTGTCATTGAAACTTTTATTCGGTTCACTGGTTTATTAGATTACATAAGATAGGCCTCGAGCAGTTTCTGTAAACGTCACGTGATAAAGTGTGATGAAGCGTGACAAAAGCAATGAATGTGTATAGGATGTCCATGGCGACAAGATATAAAAAAACAAAAACGGAGAAGTTGTAGTATACGTACTTTTTAACGAGTCATTTGTTTTAGAATTACCATTTGTGTGAAATTGAAGGAGGAGATAGCGACACAAGCAAGGTTTAAGGCATACATTGTATCTGGAGTCCCGGTACCAAATGCAGTAATCACAAGTAAAGTCACAGCTAAGTCACATCACGTGATGTTTGCAGAAACTGCTTGAGGCCTATCTTACATATAGCAAAGCTTCACGTAATCCTTTCAAGCAAAGCCACTTAATATTCCATCCTGCAGGCCGTATTCTTCCCCCAAGATATATTGTTTGTCTATCTTGCACCATGATTCTGGGAGACTTCTCTGCTTGTATATTCATGGATGGCCAGGAGCTTCCAGAGTATGATATCGTCGTTTCCAGTACGCCAACAGAGAACAGAATAACGTGTTGGATCGCGTCAACTGCAGGCAAGGTACGTTGTCCATAAAATGCATAGCGAAAGACCCTTAGTATCTCCATAAGAAATTTCAAGTCAGCGCGAAATTTTTAGCCCGGCAGACCTCGGGAGCCTTATTAACCGTCTTCGTTGACGGTATTACCTGTCGTCCATACGTCATGCCTCCGGGCTGGACTGGTACACAGAACATAACGCATCTGAGCAATAGTTATGTTAAAAGAGATTTCATGTTCTCCCAACTTGAGCTTACTGGTTAGTATGCGAAAGTTCCCGAAGCCTTCTTCCAAGTTCTAATGCTAAACATCAGATGACGACTCAATGCTCGATGATCGAAGCGCAAATGATATAGGTCAAATTATGATGGAGGTAGTGCAGGGGAAGTACACCATGAAAGAACAAGTAATGGGTTCCCATAACGTGAACGACCGTACCCTTCGTGTGCGGGAAGGCAAGGTGCATGAACGCGCCAAGAAGGCATGCCCTCATCGTGTTGTGTGCGTAAAATTTCATCGCAAACCTCACTGTTTTATGATTGTCATTTTGTTAAGCTTCGGAGAAGAAGTACCCGATCAAAGCCCAGTATCAGCCTTCAAGATTATACCAGACAATAGTCCAAAGACTGTCTTCGTATTCAAGTACACGCGCTTGGGTGGGCCATGATGTTTTCTACGCGCATTCGCCACTCACACATGGTCCCGATCCCAGACATCCTGCAAGCAATGGGAGTAGCACCACGTACATCAATCATGGCAGACACAGAGGCAGAGATGGAGGATCATGACGATGACAATGAAGTCATGGATGGGTCTGATGAGTCCTTGCCCTCAGATGATGTCAAACCACTGGCAAGGATTCGAGAGCTAGAGGTAATTTTTTGTTTTGGTGATATCTTTTCCTCCAGCTCATTCTCGTCTTGCAGATGGAGCTTCAGCGCTTGCGTGCACAAGTAGAAGATCGGAAGCCCTCGCTTGTCAAGTTGGAACACGGGGGATCGCGACGGAAACCCGCTGCTATGGAGGTTATTGATCTCACTGAGGATTAGCTTCTCTTTTCTTGGGTTCAGGTCCTCCGTTCTGAGGTAAGCAATCAAATTCCCAGTGTGATGGACACCACCATGCATTTTCTAGGAACTCGATTATCTGCAAGATGAAACACGCTACATCAATAGTTTCTGTGTGGTTCGAAATCATCATCACTATGATGTATGTATGTACATTGTATAGGTGCAGAACTTTGAAAGTCTGTCGCCACGAGTCCTGACGTTACGCTTACGACTCGAATAATACTTTCTTGTACCGTTAGTACTACGCCTTGTTCTATAACCACTGTATAATGACATTCCAAGTCGTATATAGACTTCATATAATAACAGCTCGCACTCCGAGGTTTCAGAAGTTCAAACATTCAAGATTAATACAAACAAACTTTTATCACTTTCTTTCTCCCGTGGCAGGGTCGAATATCCACACTCATGCTCCTCGGAGACTTCTGTGCCTGGCCTGCGCTGCAGTTGATGGAAATGAGCTCAGCGCTCACGATCGAGAATTTCGTGGCACCGCCGTCTCCTCTTGAAGATAGGAGGCTAGTACTAGGTACATGCTGGATTGTATCTGAGGAAGGAAATCGGATATCCTCTCAACTCGCGTTCCGAATGTCGCGGCATAAGTACGGAGCTCAATGTCGTTTCGCTCAAGTGTTTCCGGTTGGTACCAGGACATTCCGAAACGCACACAACGTTTACAATGACTTATCAATGATGCGGTACTGCGCACTATGTATTAGCTCTCGTGACCAACTCGCGACTTTCATATCTCCTCGACCGCCGGTACTTGCCGGCAATGCAATGGCGACTTGATATTGTTCCACTGTTGACCGGTATCTAGACCTTCATGATCATGCTGAGCGGTATTCAGATGATGACGGCTACCTACTGCCCTTGGATGATCATGGGGGACAATTGTATATTTTACGAACACACAGCTATTGGGACATTCAAGAAGTATATCGTGTGAGTGGCAGTCATATTTTGGGACTTGACTCGTTCCATAACTGCAGCCTCGAAGACGAAGCTAAGAGAACCTCCGGTACAGACAAACCTCCTATTTGATTGATCTTATGCTCCGTCGGTAAGCTTGTCTCCGATTTCTGTACCGAACACAATAAATGTCGTCGCTCTCTGCGATTATTAGCCGGAAGCCTATGGGTGGACCGGAAGCCGATCAACTCGCATGGTCCTAATGAGTGTAGAATGAGCTGAAACGCTCGCGGCAAAAGGAGGGACTCGGGATTCCGAATCAAGTTAGGAGGACCGTCATCCTCGTGAGCGGGGATATTTCTGCCACTGAGACTACCGGCCTGACGTCAGTACAGCCTTGAGTAGATCCTGCCGGCGGCAGGTGCTCATTCTCAAATACTACCCTTCCGGTGTAATCGGTACCCCACAGAAGTCGGTACTTTCACAAAACTCGTGTTTATAAACACGGATATCATTCTCTCTGTTATGACTCATTATGATGTTGAACGACCACGTGAACTGGAGTAGAATGGAGCGAGATAGTTGAAAGTGCCGAAGCCACGTAAAGATATCGACACCTGTCGATATGTGCCGTGGCATTTGCGTGACTGCCAGCGTCTGTGGCGTACCGATTGCACCGGAAGGGATAGTATACAAACATGGCGTCCTCGGTGTGATGTCCTGTACCGGCCCGAATCCTTCTTTCGATTCCTCAAAATCTATGCCGTGTTTCGTCCATGGTGCCTGTCTGTACTGCCTGGTCAGTATCACGTCGCATGACACCACTCGTGGTTGAAATTGAAACATCACATGAAGACGGTGACTCGTACATCGATTCTATTCTCCTGATAACTTTCTGATGTTCTCCGAAGTGGTAAAGTGGCGCAGAATTCTTGAAAGGGGGGCTGAGAGGAGTAGCGGAAACAGTATTTTTGTGCGTATCTGTCACAAAGCTGAAAACGAAGAAATGTGAATGTCACATATTGTCCAGAAATTTAGAGTTTAACCAACGCGTTGTTTGGAGTATAATGGCGCCTTATCAAAATAGTAACGGCATTGAGTGATAGACTGGATTGCGTTGAGTTTCGGCCGCCTTTCCGGATCTACATCAACTCCTCGGACTTTATTGACACGAAGGAGTACTAGTCCATATGTGATAGTGATTCCACGTAGAGACACCTCATGTTTTTGGTCCATGATCCGTTGCCAACCTGTTGAAGAAGGAACCAGAGCGCTGGACATTTGCGGTCCGTTACATCGGCCGATGTGAACCCAGCGTTGACAACTCCTATGTGCCGTTCCTCACGTGTCATCAATCTTTACGGGTCAGGCGTGCATCGCGACTTGTCTGAAATGACCGCAAGTCAGCACATTATGACGTGCTTTGTGAATGGCCCAGAGCTCAAATGAAAAGCCGTTTTGTAAAGCCTGACCTCATTTCCACTGTTCCGGAAGTATCACAAAGCTGCTAGACCAGCAGATAATGAGTTCATTAAAATCGAAGATTAAGCTTGCAAGAAACATTTACCATCTCCAAGATGTGAATCGCGAGTAGGTATGGTCCGGGCTAAAATCACAGCGAGAAGTACGCATTTCCAAGTGGTCTAGAGGTGCCTAGCACCAGGCCATAGCCACCGAGGAGGTACCAGTAACGTCATTCAGTTGCTGTGAAGAACGTTCATCAACGTACCAACAAGTTTGGTTTGAAAGGAAGAGTTTTGGGATATGTCACATGACGTGAACGCGTTCCTTGGTGTCGCTGAGTTTCAAATTTAATTAGTGGATAAAAGCACGCGTAATTCCATGCACGCCTTTCTGTACCTGGTTAAGCGCGTGTACATCGATTGAAAGCTATCCACGTCATCATTCTCCTTTCCTTCAATGCTATCCTATGGGACGCTACGAGCGTGCATCAGGGTCGATGGACAAGCTTTGGAGAGCTATGGAATTGAGACGTTTCCAGAAGAAAATAAGGTGACCTGTTGGATTGCTTCGGAAGCAGGAAAGGTGTGTACTTCGTGAATTTGTACATGAGGCGACCCCCAACGCCGCCTCCTGTCACTCCTGCAGACGTTCTCTGTAGTATGGCAAGATATCAACTATGCACGCCAGTATCACCAAACAGGAGATGTGACACTCGATGGCATACATGGAGGGGGTCAATTAATGCATGCTTTAGGTTTCAATGAGCCACCGACGTATCAGAGATGTACGGCAGAATTCAAATACGTCAACACATCAATGAATTCCATCCGTCCGCTTACCTTCTCGAGGCTTCAGCTGACGGGTCAGTTTTATCTAGTGCAGACCATCAGACTCCAGAAGGATGCTCATATACTTACAGATGAAGATAAACACCTGAATTCTGCACACGCAGATCTCGGAGAAATTTCCTTGGCCATCTGGCCTGTGAGTGTGATTGGCATGGGCCACCGAAAAAATACAATCTCTGCTAAGGGAACGATAGTTCACGAGCGCTCAAAGAAGGCATCAAGTCACTGTGTGGGGTGCGTAGTTTTGCTCCATCTCGTCACCCAAGTCACATACGATCTTAGGTTTGGAGAGGAGATCCGTGTGCCACCGCAACAGGTAATTAACGTGGCGCGCGTTGGAATAACCCCCACGGCTACATTTGTTTTCAGGTACAGACCATTTGGTTCGTGTGCAAAACATAGTCGGTAATTATATTCTGATACTCATATATCCTTACTAGATCGACTCGTGGCAGATGGTATTGCCCCGCCACCTATGCAACCTTCATGGGGAACCAAGCGTGAAGCTCCTGTAGACGTACCAGAATCTGAAGATTACAACGATGGGACAGGCTCAGATATAGATGATGAAGCCTTGCGTGAGCTTAATGCGCTGAAAGTCAGATCTTTTCTTGCGATATGCTTATAGAAGCGCTGACACCCAATTTACGAAGGCACAAGTGAAAAGGCTCGAGGAAAGAATAACCACTACCCGCAGTGCCAAGAGGGTAAAATTGGAGTCCAGTGACAGCATGCGGAGTCAGTGAGACGTTGAGAAGTATCACTACCTTATAGGTAGGTTTCTAATCTCTCCCCAATAGCTTGATCACTGAAAGCACAAGCGCACACAACGTAATTCCGACCCACGTCTTTCTTTTGGACTCTCACTCTGTCACATTCACATGCATGAGAAAACGCGCATCGAGGTTTGACTGTTTTCCGCTCCAATAATGTCCCCGTCCCGCACACCGTAACGAAGGAAATGCTTTAGAGCATTCAACAGCATTGCATCTTCGCCTATTTCCGTATCCATCTACCATTAATTGACGTCAAATCTGCATCGGCGTTGACCATCCCCTCGTCATGCTCCAATTATATTTCAATCTTGTACAATCGGCCGTGGTTCGTTTTCTTGATAGGTACGTTCTTGCGGGATACTTGAACTCTCGCTGACCAAACCCTGACGAGCAGATTAATCGTATACATAGTTCATTCTCACCCGTTAATCCTCGATCGATTTTAATAGCCTGCGATCACGGTCCGTCTTGTGCAATCACCGCCTCCACTTCTCAGATCAGCTGATTTGACTCTACGTACCGTCACTTAATCAAGGTGTCTTCTTGACGAACCACTCCTCTTACTTTCCTACGCATAGATATCCATGCTGGACGTGGATCTAGTTAGCTCGAAATGATAACGGCTTTTGCGCTATTTGATTTTTGCCTGATCACAGCCCTGCTCAGCATCCCTCGGAAATGAGGCAAACGTTATTTCTTAAGGAAATGGGCTTCCATGTGCAAGGGGAAGGTGGGCTAGGCTGTGCACCTTGTGTTTTTCACTAATCTGGTCTAGTCTGGTCTGGTCTCCAGGCGCATCCAGGGACCGCTCGCTGGACTATACGTGAAACGTCCGGCGTCCAACTTGCCAGCCTCGAGGTTGGCGTTAATTTTGTACGTACCTTTGGTTGCTTCTATAACGAAGCTCCACATAGGATAAACTTGTGGAGCGCACGAGGGATTCCTGTGCAGGGAATTTCCATCAATTGCACTCTGTGCGGCCCTAAAATGTCGCGAAATAGCGTAACTGCCTCGTGGGTTGTGGCACCAATGACTATAAAGCCCACACAATTCCTTCCTGTATAACGAAATATCCTCTGTACCTCATCGGAGTTCACGTCATAAGCACAATGACTGTAAGCGTAACGCTCCATTATTATGTGCCTCGTGTTCATCGTTTGCTCACCAACCCCATGCAGCAGTGCACCAGCAACAAGCCCTCCGGACCTATCCGTCGAAGATTAAGGCTTCTTGATAAAGCTGTGCAATTTTTATCGCGCCTAGATGGTCGAGGGCCTCACACAATACACGAGGTGTCCCTAAACACTTCATTCCATTCGCTTCCGTTGAGTCAGGTAAATAATAGCAATGAGTATAAAGACCCATGTCCGATACTTAATTTTCGCACAGGAACAAAGCCCTTCCATCCATTCAACATTTGACTTCCACTCAATCTCTGACATGCCTGACCAACAACTCGCACTCATCATCCCATCCAAGCAAGCGACTTTTACCGTCGCTAGCCGAAAAATACCCAAGCCAGGCCCTGGCGAGGTTCTCGTCAAACTCCAGGCCACTGCGCTCAACCCTTTCGATGCTAAGATCCACAGAGATGGCACTTTCGTCGACAGCTATCCTGCAGTTCTGGGCACCGACGGTGCTGGCATCGTCGAAGAAATTGGTGAAGGCGTTACAAAATTCAATCCAGGGGAAAGAATGTATGCCATCTCATTTCTATAATGGCCACGTTCGTTGTGAGATTGATCGTTACTTCGGCTAGATTCTTCCATGGTGCCTTTGACGATAACGATCTGGCAACCTTTCAGCAGTATTGCGTAGTCACAACTGACTTCGCAGCTAAGGCAAGTTAATCCCCGCGATCGGTAGTCGAGACTCGTGTTGATCGATATTACTCAGGTCCCGAGAAGCTTATCGCTCGACCAGGCAAGTACTATCGCATGCGGAATTGGCACAGCCGCGATCGGGATGTACGGTACCATGAATGGTATCGGTCTCATTCCACCTTGGGAGCGCGGCGGATGGTCCAAGTACAAAGGTTGGCCCATCTTGATCCTCGGTGGTGCCGGCTCTGTGGGCAACTACGGTAAGCTTAGCGGCTCATTGCCACAGCCAAGACATCTTACTAATACATCACTGCTACTAGTTATCCAACTAGCGAAACTATCGGGCTTCTCACCTATCATTACCACTTCCTCGCTGAAGCACACGGAACGTCTGAAGAGTCTCGGAGCAAACCACGTCATAGACAGATATCTTCCACTATCAGCACTCAAACAGGCCGTGATGAAAATTACGGGCTCTCGCATACATATGATGTACGACTGCATATCCACAGCAGAGACGCAGGAGGCTGCTTGGTCATTGCTTGCGCCAGGAGGGAAGCTTGTTGTCACACAGCCATCCTTGATTAGCAAGGACAGCTATGACAGTAGGCAGGTGGTTCCTGTAGACGGAAGCCCGCAATCAGACGAGAACTGGGAAACGGGGAAGAGGCTGTGGGCTCATCTTGAGAGATGGGTCGAAGAGGGTCACATACGGGTATGTATCAATCAAACCTTACCTCTAGGTATTCTCTAACATTTTTTCAGCCAAACAATGTCGAACTAGTATCTGGCGGGCTGCGTGCAATACCAGATGCGCTCGAGAGATTCAACGCTGGGAAGGTAGACGGAGTGAAACTGGTAGTTCGACCACAAGAAACTTAACAATTTTGCACGGGCGATCTGGGACATATATGATCATTATTTTATCTAGATACCCCCTGCATTACCTTCATTTCTTTGTCAATATGAATTGCTTCTTGCATGTGTCATCATTTCAAAAATGGTCGCGACTCGGAGTCGTATATAAAAATGGGACCCCTATGTAGAGTCGCTTTCAATCGTGCTCTCATCTTCCTAACCATGTCTGATACAAAGCAACAAAAAGCACTCTTACTGAAGTCCAAGCACGGCCAATTCGCTGTTGGTTTGAACAGCATCCCGAAGCCCGGGAAGGATGAGGTCTTGATCAAGGTTTACTCTGTAGCCCTTAATCCTATCGACTACAAAGTTCAGGAAACCGGGATGTTTGTCGACCACTACCCAGTAGTACTCGGTGAGGATATTGCTGGTACCGTCGACGAAGTGGGAGAAGGCGTTCTCAACTTCGCGAAGGGAGACAGAGTGTGAGCACTATTAGCCCCTGAGTTGTGCCTGGGTCGCTTCCTTACCTTATTCGCTGTAGATTCACGCATGGCCAGTTTTCAAATGATAAAGCTGGTTTCCAACAGTTCGCACTTGGAGTTACGGATTTCACTGCGAAGGTATGTTCTTATTGAAGGATTTGCATTGGTACTGACAGCATATAGATTCCGGATAATTTGGGATATGATGACGCAGCCACTATTCCATTGGCCCTCGACACTGCTTCGACTGGCCTGTATAATAAAACCACGTACGGGTTTGGCCTCACGCCGCCTTGGGTAAAGGGCGGTATCGGCATGTACTCCGGGACTCCGATCGTCATTCTTGGTGGAGCGTCAGCTGTTGGGTCTTATGGTAAGTTGCTGTCAAGAGAAGTATCATTCTAACCTTCCCCTTTCAGTCATTCAGCTGGCTCACCTCTCTGGGTTCTCTCCTATCATCACGACTGCGTCGCCTGCCCATGAAGTGTACCTGAAGTCGCTTGGGGCTACCCATGTATTGAACAGGCACCTTTCTGCCGACGTTGTCAAGGCTGCTATCAACGGATTTACAAAGAACCCGATCAAGTACGTGTATGATGCTATTGCTCTCTCTGAGACACAGCAGGTTGGATGGTCGATCCTCGATGCGAAAGGATGCCTAGTTTTGACGCTTCCGGCATCAGTCCAAGAAGACGAAGGAAAGGAACGCAAAGCTATTATGACATTCGGAAGTCCACATACGAAAGAAAACAAGGAGCTTTGCAAGGGGTTGTGGGCCATTCTTTCGCAGTGGCTTGAAGCAGGGACCATTAAGGTGAGGTATCAAGCATATCCCAGTCTCACTGCCGCTGACCTACCTCATATAGCCTCTTAGGTACGAAGTTCTTCCTGATGGTCTTGAAGGAATCATCGGGGGGTTGGAACAAATGAAGGCGGCGAAAGTAAGTGGGAAAAAGTTGGTTGCTCACCCGCAAGACACCAAGTGAGGCCATACTATGTGGTCGACGAGGAAGTCAATGTGATTTTCGTCTGGTTTGTCACTGTATTTTTATTCAAGTGCCGGCATCGCATCACTATGTATTAGTAAATTATTTCAAGAACAAACCTGTAATTCAGATTTCATTCGAGTTGCAATTGGTGCGCAAGGAAATGATTGGCGTCTCTGCAAAACTTATTTGAAATTTTGAACACAAATAATTTCTCAAGTTAAACAAACACAATAATTAATGATAATTTTTTTTACCTCACGTTGAATCAAGCCAGGTCGTAATAGTCTGAACTCTAGACGTAATGCCTGGTCGGGGCCTCGTGTCAGTTGCTTCCATCAGCCAGTTTGTGGTTTTTAGCTTTGTCTTGCATGTGCTGTGACTTACGAACAAATTCCTCGACTGATCATGCGAGGACCTTTTGAGACTCTCTGCATCTCGGAAATTCTCGCAGTTATCCTTGATGGTTTGCAAGGCGACAAGAAGTCGTTATACCACATGTCTTGCTGTTGTCGTGCATTTACAGATCCTGCCCTCGATGTCCTCTGGAGATCCATGCACTCATTTGCGCCATTCACTTCGTTGATTCCACAAAGCGCGTCATTTGCGAATGTAAGTGACTCATCTCACGTCTGTCGCTGATGCCAATCCTCATTATACCTGCAGGACTCCTGGACGACAGACCACGATCTCCTAAAGTATCGCCCATCGAACGACTGGAAAACATTCGACAAATACGCTGCACGAGTACGGAGTTTGTGCATAGGAGACTACATCAATAACATCGCAGACCTCGTAAAAACCCAGGATTGTTATACATGTCTCACAGTCATTCGAGGACAGGATGGATGTCATCCTTTCCCAAAATTACGAAGTCTGATCTATATCCTCTACGGGCCAATTTCCCCGCAAGCGAAGCCATTTCCCCCCTCCCTGCGATCTCTCACTCTCGTGTGTCGCGACGCGATCGATTGTGACCCTATTGAATTGGTACTTGACCGCGCCGTCGCTGAAGCACCGCGTCTAAAGGAACTGCGCATTATTGGTCTCATGCGGACAATGAGAACGTTGCACCCAACACCCCAACCTCATTTCGGGCAGATCGAGAGCCTCGATCTAAGCAAAGCTTATATTCGTGCCCCCGAGCTTGCAACTCTTTGCACGCTATTGTCCCAGGCACCTATCTCAGACCTCAAAATCCACCTCCAAGATCGCTTGGACATAGATTGGGACGCCATTCCTCCGATGTTCCCTGCATTGAAGCAGTTGGATGTTCGTGGATCAATGTCTTCCGTCACCCTCTTCATGTCACGTCTTGCAGCAACAAACCTACATACGCTGGTTTTTCAGCCGAACGGGTATTTTCAGGGTGTCGTGATCGTCTTTGATTACCTCATACCTATCATCGTTAAGACGTTCGGAAAGTCGCTGAAATCACTTGATCTTCATATCAATGGACCTAGGCCTCGTGCCGAGGATAGTGACGTTATCAAGAGTATTTTTCAGGGGCTTGAGCCTCTTATGGAAGCAGGCTTGCAATCACTGCGCCTCTTTTTGCAGGTAGGCTCCACACTGAGACCAGTGCAATTCCCTCCGGAAGTGCAGTCCATGCTTGAGCCCTCCGCTTGGCCTTCCTTGAAGCACTTTCACTTTGCGACAAAAGAGTAGCAATACGCAGTGTTCTTCCTTGATATAAGCAATCGGTCAGGTTATACACTAGCATGGTTAGTCTTTTGGTCCCTGTCTAAGTACTGGGGTGGTCTAGGCGCTCGAGAGTTTGCTATTTACATAACTTTAGCAGGGCCGATTTTTTTAATTTTTTTTTCCCCATAACTTTAAGTACTACACACTGTTACGTCAGCATCCAGACAATTTAGATAGGTACCGGTCGTACGGCACCTGTAAAATCCATATTCTCGGCTGCATGCTCAGCATTTAGGACAAAGAACAGCGGTACTCACATTCAATTCTCGATGAGCTTTGCTATGGATTTACTCTTGTTGGCGACCAGCTGGGCTCACGTTCTTTTGGCACCATACACGAAAGTCGAAGAAAGTTTCAACCTGCACGCAACCCATGATGTTCTTATGTATGGAGTTGGAAGGAATAATTTGCACAAGGCATGAAACTTCCTCATCTCATCTCTTCGTATCTGATCTGTTGCGAAGTTTGACCATAACACCTTTTCAGGTGCCGTACCACGGACGTTCATAGGAAGCATTCTACTTGCGTGGCTCACTTCACCTGTCGCCTATGTAGCCAGTCAGTGGGGCTTGCTAAGCACAAAGCTCGACCTTCAGATAGCAGGTTTGATTCTATCTCAACACTTGTCTCGCAGCGTTTTGACCTTTCTCATAGTGCGTTTGGTCCTTGCTACGCTAAATGCAACAGGTCTCATGTTGATACGGCGGGCTGTATGTAGACGATTTGGTCGTCCAACTGGCCTCATGTATGTCCTCCTGATATGTTCGCAATTCCATCTGCCGTTTTGGATGGGCAGGACATTACCAAACATGTTCGCATTGTTCCCTGGTAGGTGATTTTCCTGCGACACAAGCCTCGGCTCAACAAAGGACAACCACAAGTCAACCTTGCATTCTACGCGTTGTACGACAGAGCTCCACACTCCCAATATCCTGCAAGAAGGAGTGCCGATGTTGCATTTGCTTTACTGACGTTCACTGCCGTTGTGTTCCGCTCGGAGGTCGTGCTATTACTAGCTCCTCTTGCCATCCAAGCACTTCTTCTCCGGCATATCAGTTTTATGAGACTGATTAGAATTGGTTTTTTCTCTGGCGTGCTGTCCATCGGTGCGTATCTTTCTTTGTGCACTGAAAGGTCTGCAACTGTTGAGCGACCAGTTTTAACCGTTACCATCGACTCATACATGTGGAACCAGTGGCCGCTGTGGCCCGAGATGTATGGTATATATTTCAATGTATATCAAGGCAAGAGTTCTGATTGGGGCGTAAGTTGTGACTTTATTTTTCTTTTGCGTCTCTCACCCATTGTGCAGACCTCACCTGTGCACGCGTATTTCCTTTCACACCTTCCAAAGCTTCTTCTTGGATCCTTACCGTTGGCTATACTCGGAGCTATCTCGGATAACCGTGTCCGGGCCCTAATGTACCCCCCAGTACTCTTTATTGCCCTCATCAGTTGTTTGGGTCACAAAGAATGGCGCTTCATTATCTATGTCGTTCCCCTATTCAATATCGCCGCCGCTCGGGGTGCCTGGTGGATGTAAGTATCCATATTTTCTACTTCGTTTGATCAGAGGCACACTGAGCTTTTCAACAGGGTATCTCGAAGGAAAGGTGGTCTTTTCGGAAGGATGATGTTTCTCGCAGCTATGGGCATACTTGCTCTGAATTGTGCCATCACTATCGTATCGACACGCGCGTCGATGGCAAACTACCCTGGTGGTTCTGCACTCGTAACATTCAACGATCAATATGCAGACCAACATGCTGGTATGAGCCACGGCGAATGAGCTTCTGAGTCTCGCTGACAACACCATCGCAGTGCAAGTTCACATATCTAACCTTGCAGCCCAGACTGGGGCCTCGCTCTTCCTCCAGAGTCATTCACCACCTTATATCCCATCCATGACCGCACCAGCAACAAATGATTGGGTCTATAACAAGACGGAAAGTCTGTCCCCACGCGATCTTACAACATCAACACCGTTTACTCACCTCATTGCCGAGTCTTCGGTAGAGTTCACCGGGACTGGTCGATGGAAGTTAGTAGACAGCGTGCAGGGGTTCTCAAGATGGAAGTGGAACATTCCGCGAGGCGGCATCGCCAAGGTTCTGGAAGTTCCCCTCCATCAGTGGTTAAGCGTGTTGGAGATGGAGACGAACGACCAGCTTTATATACTAGAGAGAGTGAAGTAATATTTTCTGTACCTTGCTATCTTGATTCAGCCTGACATCTACTTGAGTGATTCTGCCAATGCGTGGAAATGAATTACCTTGTTTGTTACCGGGTGCCGTGTATCAATGATCCTTTGTTTGAATCACGTATCACTGGTACTCCGGGTATGTACTAGGTGAGCGTTCTCGGGGCCCACGCGCCAAAAGTACTGGACTGGACTCTCAGGCTGCTTCTTATCGTGGTGCGTCCGCTATGATTGTCAATGTTAAGATGCTGAAGCGCTGTCAAACAGTGAACATGATGTTATGTCTTTTACCTGTACTTGTAGAATATGTATGTACTATGTAGAGGTTTAACTCATAATGCGTTGTGATGCACAGACTCCTAGTAGATGATCATCGCTCATAGTAAGCTTTTAGAGCTAGTTCGGCAACTCGATATTTTCGATATTTTTCAATATTTGCTTTGGCATGTTTGCGAAAATGTTCACCGGCATCGTTCCGAGATGTCGGAGCTCGAACCTTGCTTCTCTCCTACTGTACATATTATCAATGGATGTATACCCTCATCTAACCCTAGAGCGGCGTAAGAGGCTTTTTGCTGGTGCGGTCGCGATCACTGCGATCTGTGCACAGTACACTACTCTTCTCATGGCCCAACCTGAAGTCAATGCTCCCCCTAAGTCCAAGGCGATTCGGAGCTTGAATTTGAGCTTATCAACAAGATCAGTGATAATGAGGGTAGGGTATATACCTTGATGGATCCCCAACCACTGGGGTTCGCGATGGAGCGCCAACGCCTAGCAGCGCTCATGACGAATCCTCGGCCAGAGGTCCGGGAACGACTCCTCAAATGCATGGTACTCGTAATCAGCATCGTTGTTGCTTCTACGCACGGCATCCTACAATCAATATATCCCAAAGATCCCGAGCCCTATCACACTTCAGCGCTAACTGGGCAAGACTGGGTGATCGAGTTGCTCACTGGTCACCCAGAGCGCATCAGGTGTGAGCTTGGCATGCGCGCCAATGCATTTGTGGAGCTTATCTCCGAGCTTCGCACCATGGGCCATTCAGACTCCAAGTTTGTGTCCCTCGAGGAACAACTTGCGATTTTTCTTTACACCTCTGTGACTGGCCTATCAATCAGGCATGTTGCGGAGAGATTTCAACGCTCGAACGAAACGATTTCACGGTGAGTTTATTTTATTTTATTTCAAGTGACAGTATCTAATAGTATGTAGTTATTTCCGCAAGATGCTTATCATCTTCACGTCGGACCCGTTCTATTCAAGATACGTGCGCTTTCCAGATGGTTCGGTCCCCCGCAAAATTCGGAAGAACCCCAAATGGTGGCCCTTTTTCAAGGACGCTATTGGGGCGATCGACGGCAGTCACATCCACGTCACGCCTAAGGCCATCGAACGTCCGGTGTATCGTAATCGCAAGGGCTTCGTGTCGCAGAACTGCCTTTTCGCATGCGATTTCGAGCTCAACTTCACATACGCACTTACAGGCTGGGAAGGGTCGGCCACTGATGCTCGCGTCTACGAGGACGCCTGCTCTTACGACTTTCGCACTCCCGCTGGCAAATATTTTCTTGCCGACGCAGGATATCCTCTACGTCCTGGGTTGCTGGTACCCTACCGAAGCGTGCGTTATCATCTTGCCGAATGGGGTCGCGCCAATATACGGTAAGTTCATTCTCGATTGATTTTCAATGTGCTAAGTACTAAGTTTACAGGCCTTCTAACAAGGAGGAATTATTTAATCTACGTCACGCGTCAGCACGAAACGTCATTGAGCGCATCTTTGGCGTTCTCAAGCAACGTTTTCGCATACTGCTCTTACCACCGGCCTACGCTATGGAGATTCAAGCGCAGATTCCAGCCGCGCTTTGCGCCCTACACAACTACATTCGTCTTCGTGACCCTAGCGAGGGTCATCCTCCTGCTGATGACGAAGATGAAGATGTTGAGGATGGTGGTGGTCTTGGCGCTGACGTGGCCGCGGAGGATGACGCAGCAGCTATTGAGGAGGATAACGAGGAGGAATTTCGTCAAGGAGCTGCGATGCGTGATCGCATTGCAGCAGCGATGTGGACGCAGTATCAGCGCGTCATACAGGAACGGGGTTTAGACGCACTTGATATCATGGACGATGACGAGGATGCTGCTGCTGATGCCGCTGATGATACTGATAGTGATGTGTAGGCTTACTTTGTACTTACTACTGTGCTCCATACTGAACAATGAACAATGAAGTGAGAACGCGCTTGTTATTGACACACAAGAGTTATTCTATTCAGTTCACAGGTGGTAGGTAGTACAACATATAGCAACACAACACAAGAAGTAGCGAGCGAACACACACAGCATGATGAGATTTAAAACATTGAAAACGAATATTGTCCTGCTGGCAGGCGGCTCAGCCCGTCATTTCAGCATCAACACGCGGCGCTGGACCGGCATCACCTGCATCAACTGCCTCGCCGATCAGCTTCCCCACGAATGCACGCCTCCTACTCTTCTCCTGAAGATTCACGTAGAACTTGAGGTAATGTTCATTGCCCTTTGAACCAATGAACATGATGAGAGCAGCCTGCTGGTCCGGCGGTATGTCAGAGTCCTCGCCTTCCAGGATTTTGACGGCTCGCATGACCAGGTCCTCACTACCTTGTGCACCATCAGGCCCTCCTCTGACAAACCATTCAAAGACGTCGGTGAGCCGGTTGATGGTGCCTTGCATCCCCACCACAGCAGCTGCCGGCGTGATCTTTGCAGCCTTGGCGGCACTGCTGATCTTGGTGACACGGCTGTTCTGGGACACCACCGGAGTCCGTGGTTTCTTGGATGGGGGGGCTGACACCAGCGTGGTGGAAGGAGGTCGCATGGACGATGACAAGTGCGTGGAGCCAATTGACTCCATGTCCCCCATCACATCCGAATATGGGCGCTTGCTGGCGTTAGAGCCAGCAGCGGTAGACGCAGCGGTAGTAGAGATGGCGGTGGAACGTGCAGGAGTGGAGCTAGTGATGGACGTAGAGGTGGCGGCAGTGCTTAATGGGCCTGCAGAAGCGGGAACAGCAGCAGCGCTTGGAGCAGCAGGAACAGCAGCAGCGCTTGGAGCAGCAGGAACAGCAGCAGTGCTTGATGGGCCAGCAGCATCCGCAAGATCGTTATCAGCATTGGTGGTGGAGGGAGCAGCGCCACCTGGACGGAAGACGTGCCGCCCTCTAGCGCCGCCCAATGGGATGATGGTCTGCATTTTTTCATAATGCTCCCATCCCCTGTTGCGGAAAGGACGCATGAGGTTATTTGCCTGACAAAAGTCAGCGCTCAAATCAATATGACGAAGAGGGGACATACCTTGACATACGATGTCCATACAGCCGCAGCCGCAGTTCCTTCAATCCCAGCTCCAGTCTCATTGTCCCAGTGGACCCCTGTCTGGTTGCGGTACTTCTCGATAGCATGAAATATGTTTTTAAGCTAGATGAGACTCGTCAGCTTAGATCAGATGAGATCAAATAGGGCTTACTGATGTCCACTTGTTTCGAGTTGATTTCGCTGTCTTCAGTGGACCTGCGCGAGTGGATTGAAGCGCCTCATGATTGTTGATGAACTCTGCAGCAGAGCCAAGAACCTGCTGCTTGAAGTTGCCTGCCCCTTCAGCCTCTGAGCGATGATCATAGAGATAGTCTACAAGGGTAACAGTCTCGACATCATTCCACTGCGCTGGTGGGGCCTTGGAGTGAGGGGGAGCATTGACTTCAGGTTGGGCCATGAGAAGAGTAGTGTACTGTGCACAGATCGCAGTGATCGCGACCGCACCAGCAAAAAGCCTCTTACGCCGCTCTAGGGTTAGATGAGGGTATACATCCATTGATAATATGTACAGTAGGAGAGAAGCAAGGTTCGAGCTCCGACATCTCGGAACGATGCCGGTGAACATTTTCGCAAACATGCCAAAGCAAATATTGAAAAATATCGAAAATATCGAGTTGCCGAACTAGCTCTTACAGAATTCAGGGCCCAAACTTAATCGACCTGCCAGACTCGTCATGCTATAACTTAATAATGTAATATGTAGCTTGGAATGACATCGATGTCGTTCAAACTGTTGTTCACATGCACCAACTTCTTGAGCGGCCTACCTTTTTTGGTTTCCAAGATCCAGTCCCACACCGGGTGAACGTCTATGATATGATATGACCCAGAAGTGCCATCCTTTTTGTCTTTGTCGTGAACTCTGCTGACTTTCCATTCAATTTCCTTTTTCGTAGTTCACCAATACTTACACATTCCGTATGAGCTCGAAGTTCTCCTTTCTCAGTTTTGTGCTCGTCTGTTTGATAAGTATAGCCTATTCCGTACGTCGTCTGTTTAATAACTTACTGTGGTTGTCGCTTGGTGTCTCGCCTCGGGTCATGATAACCTTACAAGAAGATAACCGCTTAGCAAGTTGCCTCTCGTTAATCACTGTGTTTTCTACTACACTGGGAAGTGCGCAACCCAGAATCCTGCGCGTGCGTGCATATCAATATGACTACATACACTTCGTGACGTTGTAGACGTGAGCTCGGAGGAAACTCCCCGTCCGGGATACCGCACGTGACCCGTTGTCATTGAAACTTTTATTCGGTTCACTGGTTTATTAGATTACATAAGATAGGCCTCGAGCAGTTTCTGTAAACGTCACGTGATAAAGTGTGATGAAGCGTGACAAAAGCAATGAATGTGTATAGGATGTCCATGGCGACAAGATATAAAAAAACAAAAACGGAGAAGTTGTAGTATACGTACTTTTTAACGAGTCATTTGTTTTAGAATTACCATTTGTGTGAAATTGAAGGAGGAGATAGCGACACAAGTAAGGTTTAAGGCATACATTGTATCTGGAGTCCCGGTACCAAATGCAGTAATCACAAGTAAAGTCACAGCTAAGTCACATCACGTGATGTTTGCAGAAACTGCTTGAGGCCTATCTTACATATAGCAAAGCTTCACGTAATCCTTTCAAGCAAAGCCACTTAATATTCCATCCTGCAGGCCGTATTCTTCCCCCAAGATATATTGTTTGTCTATCTTGCACCATGATTCTGGGAGACTTCTCTGCTTGTATATTCATGGATGGCCAGGAGCTTCCAGAGTATGATATCGTCGTTTCCAGTACGCCAACAGAGAACAGAATAACGTGTTGGATCGCGTCAACTGCAGGCAAGGTACGTTGTCCATAAAATGCATAGCGAAAGACCCTTAGTATCTCCATAAGAAATTTCAAGTCAGCGCGAAATTTTTAGCCCGGCAGACCTCGGGAGCCTTATTAACCGTCTTCGTTGACGGTATTACCTGTCGTCCATACGTCATGCCTCCGGGCTGGACTGGTACACAGAACATAACGCATCTGAGCAATAGTTATGTTAAAAGAGATTTCATGTTCTCCCAACTTGAGCTTACTGGTTAGTATGCGAAAGTTCCCGAAGCCTTCTTCCAAGTTCTAATGCTAAACATCAGATGACGACTCAATGCTCGATGATCGAAGCGCAAATGATATAGGTCAAATTATGATGGAGGTAGTGCAGGGGAAGTACACCATGAAAGAACAAGTAATGGGTTCCCAGAACGTGAACGACCGTACCCTTCGTGTGCGGGAAGGCAAGGTGCATGAACGCGCCAAGAAGGCATGCCCTCATCGTGTTGTGTGCGTAAAATTTCATCGCAAACCTCACTGTTTTATGATTGTCATTTTGTTAAGCTTCGGAGAAGAAGTACCCGATCAAAGCCCAGTATCAGCCTTCAAGATTATACCAGACAATAGTCCAAAGACTGTCTTCGTATTCAAGTACACGCGCTTGGGTGGGCCATGATGTTTTCTACGCGCATTCGCCACTCACACATGGTCCCGATCCCAGACATCCTGCAAGCAATGGGAGTAGCACCACGTACATCAATCATGGCAGACACAGAGGCAGAGATGGAGGATCATGACGATGACAATGAAGTCATGGATGGGTCTGATGAGTCCTTGCCCTCAGATGATGTCAAACCACTGGCAAGGATTCGAGAGCTAGAGGTAATTTTTTGTTTTGGTGATATCTTTTCCTCCAGCTCATTCTCGTCTTGCAGATGGAGCTTCAGCGCTTGCGTGCACAAGTAGAAGATCGGAAGCCCTCGCTTGTCAAGTTGGAACACGGGGGATCGCGACGGAAACCCGCTGCTATGGAGGTTATTGATCTCACTGAGGATTAGCTTCTCTTTTCTTGGGTTCAGGTCCTCCGTTCTGAGGTAAGCAATCAAATTCCCAGTGTGATGGACACCACCATGCATTTTCTAGGAACTCGATTATCTGCAAGATGAAACACGCTACATCAATAGTTTCTGTGTGGTTCGAAATCATCATCACTATGATGTATGTATGTACATTGTATAGGTGCAGAACTTTGAAAGTCTGTCGCCACGAGTCCTGACGTTACGCTTACGACTCGAATAATACTTTCTTGTACCGTTAGTACTACGCCTTGTTCTATAACCACTGTATAATGACATTCCAAGTCGTATATAGACTTCATATAATAACAGCTCGCACTCCGAGGTTTCAGAAGTTCAAACATTCAAGATTAATACAAACAAACTTTTATCACTTTCTTTCTCCCGTGGCAGGGTCGAATATCCACACTCATGCTCCTCGGAGACTTCTGTGCCTGGCCTGCGCTGCAGTTGATGGAAATGAGCTCAGCGCTCACGATCGAGAATTTCGTGGCACCGCCGTCTCCTCTTGAAGATAGGAGGCTAGTACTAGGTACATGCTGGATTGTATCTGAGGAAGGAAATCGGATATCCTCTCAACTCGCGTTCCGAATGTCGCGGCATAAGTACGGAGCTCAATGTCGTTTCGCTCAAGTGTTTCCGGTTGGTACCAGGACATTCCGAAACGCACACAACGTTTACAATGACTTATCAATGATGCGGTACTGCGCACTATGTATTAGCTCTCGTGACCAACTCGCGACTTTCATATCTCCTCGACCGCCGGTACTTGCCGGCAATGCAATGGCGACTTGATATTGTTCCACTGTTGACCGGTATCTAGACCTTCATGATCATGCTGAGCGGTATTCAGATGATGACGGCTACCTACTGCCCTTGGATGATCATGGGGGACAATTGTATATTTTACGAACACACAGCTATTGGGACATTCAAGAAGTATATCGTGTGAGTGGCAGTCATATTTTGGGACTTGACTCGTTCCATAACTGCAGCCTCGAAGACGAAGCTAAGAGAACCTCCGGTACAGACAAACCTCCTATTTGATTGATCTTATGCTCCGTCGGTAAGCTTGTCTCCGATTTCTGTACCGAACACAATAAATGTCGTCGCTCTCTGCGATTATTAGCCGGAAGCCTATGGGTGGACCGGAAGCCGATCAACTCGCATGGTCCTAATGAGTGTAGAATGAGCTGAAACGCTCGCGGCAAAAGGAGGGACTCGGGATTCCGAATCAAGTTAGGAGGACCGTCATCCTCGTGAGCGGGGATATTTCTGCCACTGAGACTACCGGCCTGACGTCAGTACAGCCTTGAGTAGATCCTGCCGGCGGCAGGTGCTCATTCTCAAATACTACCCTTCCGGTGTAATCGGTACCCCACAGAAGTCGGTACTTTCACAAAACTCGTGTTTATAAACACGGATATCATTCTCTCTGTTATGACTCATTATGATGTTGAACGACCACGTGAACTGGAGTAGAATGGAGCGAGATAGTTGAAAGTGCCGAAGCCACGTAAAGATATCGACACCTGTCGATATGTGCCGTGGCATTTGCGTGACTGCCAGCGTCTGTGGCGTACCGATTGCACCGGAAGGGATAGTATACAAACATGGCGTCCTCGGTGTGATGTCCTGTACCGGCCCGAATCCTTCTTTCGATTCCTCAAAATCTATGCCGTGTTTCGTCCATGGTGCCTGTCTGTACTGCCTGGTCAGTATCACGTCGCATGACACCACTCGTGGTTGAAATTGAAACATCACATGAAGACGGTGACTCGTACATCGATTCTATTCTCCTGATAACTTTCTGATGTTCTCCGAAGTGGTAAAGTGGCGCAGAATTCTTGAAAGGGGGGCTGAGAGGAGTAGCGGAAACAGTATTTTTGTGCGTATCTGTCACAAAGCTGAAAACGAAGAAATGTGAATGTCACATATTGTCCAGAAATTTAGAGTTTAACCAACGCGTTGTTTGGAGTATAATGGCGCCTTATCAAAATAGTAACGGCATTGAGTGATAGACTGGATTGCGTTGAGTTTCGGCCGCCTTTCCGGATCTACATCAACTCCTCGGACTTTATTGACACGAAGGAGTACTAGTCCATATGTGATAGTGATTCCACGTAGAGACACCTCATGTTTTTGGTCCATGATCCGTTGCCAACCTGTTGAAGAAGGAACCAGAGCGCTGGACATTTGCGGTCCGTTACATCGGCCGATGTGAACCCAGCGTTGACAACTCCTATGTGCCGTTCCTCACGTGTCATCAATCTTTACGGGTCAGGCGTGCATCGCGACTTGTCTGAAATGACCGCAAGTCAGCACATTATGACGTGCTTTGTGAATGGCCCAGAGCTCAAATGAAAAGCCGTTTTGTAAAGCCTGACCTCATTTCCACTGTTCCGGAAGTATCACAAAGCTGCTAGACCAGCAGATAATGAGTTCATTAAAATCGAAGATTAAGCTTGCAAGAAACATTTACCATCTCCAAGATGTGAATCGCGAGTAGGTATGGTCCGGGCTAAAATCACAGCGAGAAGTACGCATTTCCAAGTGGTCTAGAGGTGCCTAGCACCAGGCCATAGCCACCGAGGAGGTACCAGTAACGTCATTCAGTTGCTGTGAAGAACGTTCATCAACGTACCAACAAGTTTGGTTTGAAAGGAAGAGTTTTGGGATATGTCACATGACGTGAACGCGTTCCTTGGTGTCGCTGAGTTTCAAATTTAATTAGTGGATAAAAGCACGCGTAATTCCATGCACGCCTTTCTGTACCTGGTTAAGCGCGTGTACATCGATTGAAAGCTATCCACGTCATCATTCTCCTTTCCTTCAATGCTATCCTATGGGACGCTACGAGCGTGCATCAGGGTCGATGGACAAGCTTTGGAGAGCTATGGAATTGAGACGTTTCCAGAAGAAAATAAGGTGACCTGTTGGATTGCTTCGGAAGCAGGAAAGGTGTGTACTTCGTGAATTTGTACATGAGGCGACCCCCAACGCCGCCTCCTGTCACTCCTGCAGACGTTCTCTGTAGTATGGCAAGATATCAACTATGCACGCCAGTATCACCAAACAGGAGATGTGACACTCGATGGCATACATGGAGGGGGTCAATTAATGCATGCTTTAGGTTTCAATGAGCCACCGACGTATCAGAGATGTACGGCAGAATTCAAATACGTCAACACATCAATGAATTCCATCCGTCCGCTTACCTTCTCGAGGCTTCAGCTGACGGGTCAGTTTTATCTAGTGCAGACCATCAGACTCCAGAAGGATGCTCATATACTTACAGATGAAGATAAACACCTGAATTCTGCACACGCAGATCTCGGAGAAATTTCCTTGGCCATCTGGCCTGTGAGTGTGATTGGCATGGGCCACCGAAAAAATACAATCTCTGCTAAGGGAACGATAGTTCACGAGCGCTCAAAGAAGGCATCAAGTCACTGTGTGGGGTGCGTAGTTTTGCTCCATCTCGTCACCCAAGTCACATACGATCTTAGGTTTGGAGAGGAGATCCGTGTGCCACCGCAACAGGTAATTAACGTGGCGCGCGTTGGAATAACCCCCACGGCTACATTTGTTTTCAGGTACAGACCATTTGGTTCGTGTGCAAAACATAGTCGGTAATTATATTCTGATACTCATATATCCTTACTAGATCGACTCGTGGCAGATGGTATTGCCCCGCCACCTATGCAACCTTCATGGGGAACCAAGCGTGAAGCTCCTGTAGACGTACCAGAATCTGAAGATTACAACGATGGGACAGGCTCAGATATAGATGATGAAGCCTTGCGTGAGCTTAATGCGCTGAAAGTCAGATCTTTTCTTGCGATATGCTTATAGAAGCGCTGACACCCAATTTACGAAGGCACAAGTGAAAAGGCTCGAGGAAAGAATAACCACTACCCGCAGTGCCAAGAGGGTAAAATTGGAGTCCAGTGACAGCATGCGGAGTCAGTGAGACGTTGAGAAGTATCACTACCTTATAGGTAGGTTTCTAATCTCTCCCCAATAGCTTGATCACTGAAAGCACAAGCGCACACAACGTAATTCCGACCCACGTCTTTCTTTTGGACTCTCACTCTGTCACATTCACATGCATGAGAAAACGCGCATCGAGGTTTGACTGTTTTCCGCTCCAATAATGTCCCCGTCCCGCACACCGTAACGAAGGAAATGCTTTAGAGCATTCAACAGCATTGCATCTTCGCCTATTTCCGTATCCATCTACCATTAATTGACGTCAAATCTGCATCGGCGTTGACCATCCCCTCGTCATGCTCCAATTATATTTCAATCTTGTACAATCGGCCGTGGTTCGTTTTCTTGATAGGTACGTTCTTGCGGGATACTTGAACTCTCGCTGACCAAACCCTGACGAGCAGATTAATCGTATACATAGTTCATTCTCACCCGTTAATCCTCGATCGATTTTAATAGCCTGCGATCACGGTCCGTCTTGTGCAATCACCGCCTCCACTTCTCAGATCAGCTGATTTGACTCTACGTACCGTCACTTAATCAAGGTGTCTTCTTGACGAACCACTCCTCTTACTTTCCTACGCATAGATATCCATGCTGGACGTGGATCTAGTTAGCTCGAAATGATAACGGCTTTTGCGCTATTTGATTTTTGCCTGATCACAGCCCTGCTCAGCATCCCTCGGAAATGAGGCAAACGTTATTTCTTAAGGAAATGGGCTTCCATGTGCAAGGGGAAGGTGGGCTAGGCTGTGCACCTTGTGTTTTTCACTAATCTGGTCTAGTCTGGTCTGGTCTCCAGGCGCATCCAGGGACCGCTCGCTGGACTATACGTGAAACGTCCGGCGTCCAACTTGCCAGCCTCGAGGTTGGCGTTAATTTTGTACGTACCTTTGGTTGCTTCTATAACGAAGCTCCACATAGGATAAACTTGTGGAGCGCACGAGGGATTCCTGTGCAGGGAATTTCCATCAATTGCACTCTGTGCGGCCCTAAAATGTCGCGAAATAGCGTAACTGCCTCGTGGGTTGTGGCACCAATGACTATAAAGCCCACACAATTCCTTCCTGTATAACGAAATATCCTCTGTACCTCATCGGAGTTCACGTCATAAGCACAATGACTGTAAGCGTAACGCTCCATTATTATGTGCCTCGTGTTCATCGTTTGCTCACCAACCCCATGCAGCAGTGCACCAGCAACAAGCCCTCCGGACCTATCCGTCGAAGATTAAGGCTTCTTGATAAAGCTGTGCAATTTTTATCGCGCCTAGATGGTCGAGGGCCTCACACAATACACGAGGTGTCCCTAAACACTTCATTCCATTCGCTTCCGTTGAGTCAGGTAAATAATAGCAATGAGTATAAAGACCCATGTCCGATACTTAATTTTCGCACAGGAACAAAGCCCTTCCATCCATTCAACATTTGACTTCCACTCAATCTCTGACATGCCTGACCAACAACTCGCACTCATCATCCCATCCAAGCAAGCGACTTTTACCGTCGCTAGCCGAAAAATACCCAAGCCAGGCCCTGGCGAGGTTCTCGTCAAACTCCAGGCCACTGCGCTCAACCCTTTCGATGCTAAGATCCACAGAGATGGCACTTTCGTCGACAGCTATCCTGCAGTTCTGGGCACCGACGGTGCTGGCATCGTCGAAGAAATTGGTGAAGGCGTTACAAAATTCAATCCAGGGGAAAGAATGTATGCCATCTCATTTCTATAATGGCCACGTTCGTTGTGAGATTGATCGTTACTTCGGCTAGATTCTTCCATGGTGCCTTTGACGATAACGATCTGGCAACCTTTCAGCAGTATTGCGTAGTCACAACTGACTTCGCAGCTAAGGCAAGTTAATCCCCGCGATCGGTAGTCGAGACTCGTGTTGATCGATATTACTCAGGTCCCGAGAAGCTTATCGCTCGACCAGGCAAGTACTATCGCATGCGGAATTGGCACAGCCGCGATCGGGATGTACGGTACCATGAATGGTATCGGTCTCATTCCACCTTGGGAGCGCGGCGGATGGTCCAAGTACAAAGGTTGGCCCATCTTGATCCTCGGTGGTGCCGGCTCTGTGGGCAACTACGGTAAGCTTAGCGGCTCATTGCCACAGCCAAGACATCTTACTAATACATCACTGCTACTAGTTATCCAACTAGCGAAACTATCGGGCTTCTCACCTATCATTACCACTTCCTCGCTGAAGCACACGGAACGTCTGAAGAGTCTCGGAGCAAACCACGTCATAGACAGATATCTTCCACTATCAGCACTCAAACAGGCCGTGATGAAAATTACGGGCTCTCGCATACATATGATGTACGACTGCATATCCACAGCAGAGACGCAGGAGGCTGCTTGGTCATTGCTTGCGCCAGGAGGGAAGCTTGTTGTCACACAGCCATCCTTGATTAGCAAGGACAGCTATGACAGTAGGCAGGTGGTTCCTGTAGACGGAAGCCCGCAATCAGACGAGAACTGGGAAACGGGGAAGAGGCTGTGGGCTCATCTTGAGAGATGGGTCGAAGAGGGTCACATACGGGTATGTATCAATCAAACCTTACCTCTAGGTATTCTCTAACATTTTTTCAGCCAAACAATGTCGAACTAGTATCTGGCGGGCTGCGTGCAATACCAGATGCGCTCGAGAGATTCAACGCTGGGAAGGTAGACGGAGTGAAACTGGTAGTTCGACCACAAGAAACTTAACAATTTTGCACGGGCGATCTGGGACATATATGATCATTATTTTATCTAGATACCCCCTGCATTACCTTCATTTCTTTGTCAATATGAATTGCTTCTTGCATGTGTCATCATTTCAAAAATGGTCGCGACTCGGAGTCGTATATAAAAATGGGACCCCTATGTAGAGTCGCTTTCAATCGTGCTCTCATCTTCCTAACCATGTCTGATACAAAGCAACAAAAAGCACTCTTACTGAAGTCCAAGCACGGCCAATTCGCTGTTGGTTTGAACAGCATCCCGAAGCCCGGGAAGGATGAGGTCTTGATCAAGGTTTACTCTGTAGCCCTTAATCCTATCGACTACAAAGTTCAGGAAACCGGGATGTTTGTCGACCACTACCCAGTAGTACTCGGTGAGGATATTGCTGGTACCGTCGACGAAGTGGGAGAAGGCGTTCTCAACTTCGCGAAGGGAGACAGAGTGTGAGCACTATTAGCCCCTGAGTTGTGCCTGGGTCGCTTCCTTACCTTATTCGCTGTAGATTCACGCATGGCCAGTTTTCAAATGATAAAGCTGGTTTCCAACAGTTCGCACTTGGAGTTACGGATTTCACTGCGAAGGTATGTTCTTATTGAAGGATTTGCATTGGTACTGACAGCATATAGATTCCGGATAATTTGGGATATGATGACGCAGCCACTATTCCATTGGCCCTCGACACTGCTTCGACTGGCCTGTATAATAAAACCACGTACGGGTTTGGCCTCACGCCGCCTTGGGTAAAGGGCGGTATCGGCATGTACTCCGGGACTCCGATCGTCATTCTTGGTGGAGCGTCAGCTGTTGGGTCTTATGGTAAGTTGCTGTCAAGAGAAGTATCATTCTAACCTTCCCCTTTCAGTCATTCAGCTGGCTCACCTCTCTGGGTTCTCTCCTATCATCACGACTGCGTCGCCTGCCCATGAAGTGTACCTGAAGTCGCTTGGGGCTACCCATGTATTGAACAGGCACCTTTCTGCCGACGTTGTCAAGGCTGCTATCAACGGATTTACAAAGAACCCGATCAAGTACGTGTATGATGCTATTGCTCTCTCTGAGACACAGCAGGTTGGATGGTCGATCCTCGATGCGAAAGGATGCCTAGTTTTGACGCTTCCGGCATCAGTCCAAGAAGACGAAGGAAAGGAACGCAAAGCTATTATGACATTCGGAAGTCCACATACGAAAGAAAACAAGGAGCTTTGCAAGGGGTTGTGGGCCATTCTTTCGCAGTGGCTTGAAGCAGGGACCATTAAGGTGAGGTATCAAGCATATCCCAGTCTCACTGCCGCTGACCTACCTCATATAGCCTCTTAGGTACGAAGTTCTTCCTGATGGTCTTGAAGGAATCATCGGGGGGTTGGAACAAATGAAGGCGGCGAAAGTAAGTGGGAAAAAGTTGGTTGCTCACCCGCAAGACACCAAGTGAGGCCATACTATGTGGTCGACGAGGAAGTCAATGTGATTTTCGTCTGGTTTGTCACTGTATTTTTATTCAAGTGCCGGCATCGCATCACTATGTATTAGTAAATTATTTCAAGAACAAACCTGTAATTCAGATTTCATTCGAGTTGCAATTGGTGCGCAAGGAAATGATTGGCGTCTCTGCAAAACTTATTTGAAATTTTGAACACAAATAATTTCTCAAGTTAAACAAACACAATAATTAATGATAATTTTTTTTACCTCACGTTGAATCAAGCCAGGTCGTAATAGTCTGAACTCTAGACGTAATGCCTGGTCGGGGCCTCGTGTCAGTTGCTTCCATCAGCCAGTTTGTGGTTTTTAGCTTTGTCTTGCATGTGCTGTGACTTACGAACAAATTCCTCGACTGATCATGCGAGGACCTTTTGAGACTCTCTGCATCTCGGAAATTCTCGCAGTTATCCTTGATGGTTTGCAAGGCGACAAGAAGTCGTTATACCACATGTCTTGCTGTTGTCGTGCATTTACAGATCCTGCCCTCGATGTCCTCTGGAGATCCATGCACTCATTTGCGCCATTCACTTCGTTGATTCCACAAAGCGCGTCATTTGCGAATGTAAGTGACTCATCTCACGTCTGTCGCTGATGCCAATCCTCATTATACCTGCAGGACTCCTGGACGACAGACCACGATCTCCTAAAGTATCGCCCATCGAACGACTGGAAAACATTCGACAAATACGCTGCACGAGTACGGAGTTTGTGCATAGGAGACTACATCAATAACATCGCAGACCTCGTAAAAACCCAGGATTGTTATACATGTCTCACAGTCATTCGAGGACAGGATGGATGTCATCCTTTCCCAAAATTACGAAGTCTGATCTATATCCTCTACGGGCCAATTTCCCCGCAAGCGAAGCCATTTCCCCCCTCCCTGCGATCTCTCACTCTCGTGTGTCGCGACGCGATCGATTGTGACCCTATTGAATTGGTACTTGACCGCGCCGTCGCTGAAGCACCGCGTCTAAAGGAACTGCGCATTATTGGTCTCATGCGGACAATGAGAACGTTGCACCCAACACCCCAACCTCATTTCGGGCAGATCGAGAGCCTCGATCTAAGCAAAGCTTATATTCGTGCCCCCGAGCTTGCAACTCTTTGCACGCTATTGTCCCAGGCACCTATCTCAGACCTCAAAATCCACCTCCAAGATCGCTTGGACATAGATTGGGACGCCATTCCTCCGATGTTCCCTGCATTGAAGCAGTTGGATGTTCGTGGATCAATGTCTTCCGTCACCCTCTTCATGTCACGTCTTGCAGCAACAAACCTACATACGCTGGTTTTTCAGCCGAACGGGTATTTTCAGGGTGTCGTGATCGTCTTTGATTACCTCATACCTATCATCGTTAAGACGTTCGGAAAGTCGCTGAAATCACTTGATCTTCATATCAATGGACCTAGGCCTCGTGCCGAGGATAGTGACGTTATCAAGAGTATTTTTCAGGGGCTTGAGCCTCTTATGGAAGCAGGCTTGCAATCACTGCGCCTCTTTTTGCAGGTAGGCTCCACACTGAGACCAGTGCAATTCCCTCCGGAAGTGCAGTCCATGCTTGAGCCCTCCGCTTGGCCTTCCTTGAAGCACTTTCACTTTGCGACAAAAGAGTAGCAATACGCAGTGTTCTTCCTTGATATAAGCAATCGGTCAGGTTATACACTAGCATGGTTAGTCTTTTGGTCCCTGTCTAAGTACTGGGGTGGTCTAGGCGCTCGAGAGTTTGCTATTTACATAACTTTAGCAGGGCCGATTTTTTTAATTTTTTTTTCCCCATAACTTTAAGTACTACACACTGTTACGTCAGCATCCAGACAATTTAGATAGGTACCGGTCGTACGGCACCTGTAAAATCCATATTCTCGGCTGCATGCTCAGCATTTAGGACAAAGAACAGCGGTACTCACATTCAATTCTCGATGAGCTTTGCTATGGATTTACTCTTGTTGGCGACCAGCTGGGCTCACGTTCTTTTGGCACCATACACGAAAGTCGAAGAAAGTTTCAACCTGCACGCAACCCATGATGTTCTTATGTATGGAGTTGGAAGGAATAATTTGCACAAGGCATGAAACTTCCTCATCTCATCTCTTCGTATCTGATCTGTTGCGAAGTTTGACCATAACACCTTTTCAGGTGCCGTACCACGGACGTTCATAGGAAGCATTCTACTTGCGTGGCTCACTTCACCTGTCGCCTATGTAGCCAGTCAGTGGGGCTTGCTAAGCACAAAGCTCGACCTTCAGATAGCAGGTTTGATTCTATCTCAACACTTGTCTCGCAGCGTTTTGACCTTTCTCATAGTGCGTTTGGTCCTTGCTACGCTAAATGCAACAGGTCTCATGTTGATACGGCGGGCTGTATGTAGACGATTTGGTCGTCCAACTGGCCTCATGTATGTCCTCCTGATATGTTCGCAATTCCATCTGCCGTTTTGGATGGGCAGGACATTACCAAACATGTTCGCATTGTTCCCTGGTAGGTGATTTTCCTGCGACACAAGCCTCGGCTCAACAAAGGACAACCACAAGTCAACCTTGCATTCTACGCGTTGTACGACAGAGCTCCACACTCCCAATATCCTGCAAGAAGGAGTGCCGATGTTGCATTTGCTTTACTGACGTTCACTGCCGTTGTGTTCCGCTCGGAGGTCGTGCTATTACTAGCTCCTCTTGCCATCCAAGCACTTCTTCTCCGGCATATCAGTTTTATGAGACTGATTAGAATTGGTTTTTTCTCTGGCGTGCTGTCCATCGGTGCGTATCTTTCTTTGTGCACTGAAAGGTCTGCAACTGTTGAGCGACCAGTTTTAACCGTTACCATCGACTCATACATGTGGAACCAGTGGCCGCTGTGGCCCGAGATGTATGGTATATATTTCAATGTATATCAAGGCAAGAGTTCTGATTGGGGCGTAAGTTGTGACTTTATTTTTCTTTTGCGTCTCTCACCCATTGTGCAGACCTCACCTGTGCACGCGTATTTCCTTTCACACCTTCCAAAGCTTCTTCTTGGATCCTTACCGTTGGCTATACTCGGAGCTATCTCGGATAACCGTGTCCGGGCCCTAATGTACCCCCCAGTACTCTTTATTGCCCTCATCAGTTGTTTGGGTCACAAAGAATGGCGCTTCATTATCTATGTCGTTCCCCTATTCAATATCGCCGCCGCTCGGGGTGCCTGGTGGATGTAAGTATCCATATTTTCTACTTCGTTTGATCAGAGGCACACTGAGCTTTTCAACAGGGTATCTCGAAGGAAAGGTGGTCTTTTCGGAAGGATGATGTTTCTCGCAGCTATGGGCATACTTGCTCTGAATTGTGCCATCACTATCGTATCGACACGCGCGTCGATGGCAAACTACCCTGGTGGTTCTGCACTCGTAACATTCAACGATCAATATGCAGACCAACATGCTGGTATGAGCCACGGCGAATGAGCTTCTGAGTCTCGCTGACAACACCATCGCAGTGCAAGTTCACATATCTAACCTTGCAGCCCAGACTGGGGCCTCGCTCTTCCTCCAGAGTCATTCACCACCTTATATCCCATCCATGACCGCACCAGCAACAAATGATTGGGTCTATAACAAGACGGAAAGTCTGTCCCCCACGCGATCTTACAACATCAACACCGTTTACTCACCTCATTGCCGAGTCTTCGGTAGAGTTCACCGGGACTGGTCGATGGAAGTTAGTAGACAGCGTGCAGGGGTTCTCAAGATGGAAGTGGAACATTCCGCGAGGCGGCATCGCCAAGGTTCTGGAAGTTCCCCTCCATCAGTGGTTAAGCGTGTTGGAGATGGAGACGAACGACCAGCTTTATATACTAGAGAGAGTGGAAGTAATATTTTCTGTACCTGCTATCTTGATTCAGCCTGACATCTACTTGAGTGATTCTGCCAATGCGTGGAAATGAATTACCTTGTTTGTTACCGGGTGCCGTGTATCAATGTCCTTTGTTTGAATCACGTATCACTGGTACTCCGGGTATGTACTAGAGTGAGCGTTCTCGGGGCCCACGCGCCAAAAGTACTGGACTGGACTCTCAGGCTGCTTTCTTATCGTGTGCGTCCGCTATTGATTGTCAATGTTAAGATGCTGAAGCGCTGTCAACAGTGAACATGATGTTATGTCTTTTACCTGTACTTGTAGATATGTATGTACTATGTAGAGGTTTAACTCATAATGCGTGTGATGCACAGACTCCTAGTAGATGATCATCGCTCATAGTAAGCTTTTAGAGCTAGTTCGGCAACTCGATATTTTCGATATTTTTCAATATTTGCTTTGGCATGTTTGCGAAAATGTTCACCGGCATCGTTCCGAGATGTCGGAGCTCGAACCTTGCTTCTCTCCTACTGTACATATTATCAATGGATGTATACCCTCATCTAACCCTAGAGCGGCGTAAGAGGCTTTTTGCTGGTGCGGTCGCGATCACTGCGATCTGTGCACAGTACACTACTCTTCTCATGGCCCAACCTGAAGTCAATGCTCCCCCTAAGTCCAAGGCGATTCGGAGCTTGAATTTGAGCTTATCAACAAGATCAGTGATAATGAGGGTAGGGTATATACCTTGATGGATCCCCAACCACTGGGGTTCGCGATGGAGCGCCAACGCCTAGCAGCGCTCATGACGAATCCTCGGCCAGAGGTCCGGGAACGACTCCTCAAATGCATGGTACTCGTAATCAGCATCGTTGTTGCTTCTACGCACGGCATCCTACAATCAATATATCCCAAAGATCCCGAGCCCTATCACACTTCAGCGCTAACTGGGCAAGACTGGGTGATCGAGTTGCTCACTGGTCACCCAGAGCGCATCAGGTGTGAGCTTGGCATGCGC